GCCTGTGGACTGAAGGGTCCCAGGTTCGATTCCAGTCAAGGGCATGTACCTTGGTTGCAGGCACATCCCCAGTAGGGGGTGTGCAGGAGGCAGCTGATCAATATTTCTCATCGATGTTTCTAACTCTCTCTATAAAAAAAATCAATAAAATATATTTAAATAAATAAATAATTTTTTTAAAAAAAGAGAAACATGAGCCCGGCCAGTGTGGCTCAGTGGTTGAGCATTGACCTATGAACCAGGAGGTCACAGTTCAATTCCCGGTCAGGGCACATGCCGGCTTACGGGCTCTATCCCCTGTGTGGGGCGTGCAGGAGGCAGCCGATCAATGATTCTCTGTCATCACTGATGTTTCTCTCTCTCCCTCTCCCTTCCTCTCTGAAATCAATAAAAATCTTTAAAAACAAAGATAGCCCTCGCCGGTTTGGCTCAGTGGATAGAGCATCGGCCTGTAGGCCAAAGGGTCCTGGGTTCCATTCCAGTCAAGGGCACATACCTTGGTTGCAGACTCTTCCTCAGCCCAGGCCCTGGTCAGGGCACGTGCAGTAGGCAACCAATCGATGTGTTACTCTCACATTGATATTTCTCTGTCTTTCCCTCTCTCTTCCACTCTCCGTAAAAATCAATGGAAAAATATCCTCAGGTGAGGATTAAAAGAAAACACGAAATTAGCCTTGTATAAAGGCTACTTTCTTGTTTGCAAATATATGCATATATGCATGTATTGACTGGAGGGTTGCATTGAAAATGTACTTAATTCTGATAAATGTGGGAAATTGTGCATGATAATCCATCAGAGTTATCATTTAGGTTTAAGATGATTTGAAACAAGACGAAAGTGGTTTATAATGTGACCGTTTATCTTCTGAAACTCAAATTCACTTAGTTATACTTTCTATTGCCACCGTATATGGATTCAATTCAGTTTATCCTGAAACATGTACAGTAAAAGGCCCAAAATAAAACAGACCATTTCTAATCCCAAATTAGTCACCCTGTCATTGGCTTGGTTGGTCTCTGCACTGTCTCTTCTGCTAACCAATGTGGAGGATCATTTTGATTCCTTCCCCCGATGAAAAACAGCTTGAAAATCCTCTTAGTAAAAATTCAACATCCTGTCTTTAGACCTCTTCGTTGTGGATAGGTACCCATTGTGCTGCATCCAATGCCTGGCATTCATCTCAGTTTCAGGGTCCATGAAACAATGGTGAACTAAAACATCCCTTTCGCCCTATAATGTGATCCCAGTGCTGTTTGATCTCAAATCCCTGCTGCTTTCAAGTTTGCACTCTGCAAAAGGAATAAAATTTGATTTTGAAGTCATAGGAATTTGCAAGGAAAAACTAGCCCCCTTTAGGGTTGTGCACCTTTAGGTGCTCTAATTCATGATTAGCAACTGGTTCTTGTTTGCTTAAGATGTTCCCATCTTCAGATTGATGGAAGGTTGAATTGTGGGTAATGAACTTTAAGTGTGTGTATGTCAGTGGCTTTGGCAGGTGAGCTCTCTTGAACAGGTTGGGAGGGAGGGTGCTTACTTATAAGACATTGATCATTTGGACTTTATTTGGGACAGCGTCTCAATGGGTGATGGTGGCTATTACCTGCGGGGTTGAGCCTCCAGCTGTGTTACGTTCACTGATAAGCTACTTCAGTGCTGTAATTGGGTGGATGTCTGACTGGTTATTGGAAGGTAAATAGGAAATTAATGTTAGATTTCATAATTTAAAAGTCCTCAGTATGTAGTAGTCTACCAAGTTCTTCCCTACAAACAGGATTTAGATAATATTTTTTAAGCTACTATGTTTATCCTAGTTGCTTTGCAACGTTTGATGTGTATTTTATAAATTAATACTAAAAGTCAGTGGAGTTTGTGTTCTTTACAGCCGTATTTAGGTGTTTTCTCATTTTAAATAACTCTCTTGGAAATGGTATTTATCCCCAAACCAGTGTTTCCCATGTAATAGAAAACTACTATTTTCTAGTTCATTATAATTATCTACTTCATTATAATCCCAAGGGATGGATAACAAAACTATTTAATACTATTAGTAAAGAAAACTTTAAAAATTTTTTAATCATATAAATAATACTAAAATTCATTTTTTTAAAGGTTCAAGTCCTTTTAGGTCACCAAACATAGTTATGTATACTGTGCTTTGTTATAAAAAGGAATTAAATTGGCTTAAAATAAGAGCAAGTATAATTAATCATCTAAG